TTGTTCGTTTGCCAAAAATTGATTTGCCTCACTTTGACGGGAACTACCAATGCTGGCTCGAGTTCCGGGACACGTTTACGTCATTGATTCACAGTAACAATAGTATAAGTAACATAAATAAATTTCATTACTTGCGTGCTTCTTTACAAGGAACTGCAGCCTCTTTGATTAAAAATATAGAATTTAGTAGTGATCATTATAAGATTGCTTGGGACTTGTTGTGCGAGCGGTACAACAATGAGTACCTGCTTGTGGCCAATCATTTGCAAGCTTTATTCTTTGATGTTAAATCAATAAATAAAGAATCTAGTGTTTCCATTAGAAATCTTGTTGATGTGATAAATAAAAATATTCGGGCACTAACAAACTTAAAAAGGCCCACTCAGCATTGGGATGACATCATCATTTTTGTCATGGTCAAAAGGCTAGATTTAATCACAAGCCGTGAATGGGAGGAATATAGGAATAACAACATAGTAGGTTATCCAACAACTACTCAATTTTGTTCCTTTCTAAACAGGAAAGCAGACTGGTTGGAATCTGTGGAATGTAATTTTCAGAACAATAATATTGTTGCCTTGAATAGTAACACTAATTCAAATAAACATAATAATAATTCATTTAAACCTAAAAACTCAAATAATAACTCTCACAAAAACAATAATAAATGTCCACTTTGCTCCCAAGCACATACGTTATATAAATGTGAATCTTTTAGAAGCCTATCTATAGAAAATCGCATACAAAAGGCTAAAGACTTAACTGCTTGTCTTAACTGCTTACGCATTGGGCATTCTGCTAATCACTGTAAGTTTTCAAATTGCAGATACTGCAAACTTAAGCACAATACGCTTTTGCATTTAGAAGCTAGTGAAACCAAACCACTTTCTAATCCTCTGCCTTCTGCACTGCTTTCTGTATCGCCAACTACTTCAGATGTTGCGCTTTCAGCTGATTCTATGCAGCTTGCTACTTCTTCGCATGTTTTCCTGTCCACAGCTTTGGTGAACGTGACCAGTGCGACGGGTAAGAAGTACACTGCGCGCCTACTGCTGGACAACGGCAGTACGGCGAACTTTGTCACGCAGAGCTTAGCGGAGAAACTGGGTTTGTCACAACGCGGTATGAGCACCAAGGTAACGGGTATTAATAATCATGTATCCACCAGTACACAGTCTTGTCACCTCTCTATAGAGTCTTTATGCTGTGCCTTTACTGTAGACATCGATTGCCACGTTCTACCTGAGATTACAAAGCTCCTACCATCTTCGTTTGTGAATATTAAACATTTATCCTTTCCTTCAGGCCTTACATTGGCAGACCCGAACTTTAACGTTCCGTCGGCTGTCGACATTCTAGTAGGGGCTGAAGTATTTTGGAATGTCATAGGGTCAAACACGATAGACTTAGGAAAAAATCTACCTAAATTGTGCGAAACTAAATTTGGATGGCTTGTATCTGGTAGTATTTCGCATCAATCTAGTTATCTTTCCTCTGCTTCTACTCACTTTTGCCATCATTCCAGCGTCACTCCCGACTTAACCCAATTTTGGGAGCTTGACCAAGTCTCATCAAAACATTCGCTCTCCCTTGAAGAGAGAATGTGTGAACAACATTTTATAGAAACCACCGTCCGTAAAAGTGATGGCGCGTTTGTTGTTAAAATGCCTTTGAAGGAAGATCCAAGCTCTCTAGGACATTCTTACGTACATGCTAGGAATCGTTTTCTTTCCCTAGAGCGGCGATTTAAGCATGATCCTTCCTTCCACAGTAAATATAATGATTTCTTGCAAGAGTACGAGCGCTTAGGTCATATGACATTAGACACGGGCTGTACTCCTTCACCTGAAAATTCCATAACAAAATATTTCATTCCACATCATGGAGTCATTAGGGATTCTAGCACCACCACTAAACTACGCGTAGTCTTTGACGCATCAGCCCCTACAAGTACGGGAGTGTCGCTTAACGACATTCAGATGGTCGGTCCGGTAGTGCAAGACGATCTGTTTTCTATTTTAACACGTTTTCGTCAGCACAAGTATGTGGTCTCAGGTGACGTGGAGAAGATGTATAGAAGTATCGAGCTCAGTCCAGACCAACGCTCTCTTCAAAAAATTATTTTTCGTTTTAATCCATCAGAACCTCTCAGATCCTACACGCTAAATACAGTGACGTACGGTACTGCGTCTGCTCCCTATTTAGCCACCAAATGTTTGGTAAGTTTGGCCGATAACATTGAGGATAATCGGGTAAAGAGTGCCATACGGCGCGATTTCTACGTCGACGATTATTTAAGTGGGGGGAGCACCATATCTGACACTGTAGACGTAACAAAAGCAATAAGATCAGTTCTTTCATCGGCTAAATTTAATTTACGCAAATGGCGATCAAATAACGTAGAAATTTTAAAACAAATTAATTCAGAAGTAGTACATAACAATGATTCTAATAACACTCTTAAATTTTCTGAGCATGGTCTCAACCCAGCTCAATCTAAAACCCTTGGGCTTAATTGGGTTTGTGACTCTGATTCACTCACTTACACAATAAATATAACGTCTGCTAATAAAGTCACTAAACGTCACATCATCTCTGTTATCAGTCAGATTTTCGACCCACTGGGCCTCGTAGGTCCGTGCGTTGTCGAGGCGAAAATACTAATGCAGCGTCTTTGGCTGAATAAATACGACTGGGATGATGCAGTATCGCTCGAGGTAAGGGACGTTTGGTCTTTGTTTGAGAGCACAATAACGGCGTTAAATCATTTAAAGATTCCTCGTTGGGCTTTGCATGAAGGCTCTATTGCACACGAAGTACATGTTTTTACCGACGCGTCCGAAAAGGCATATGGCGCTTGCGTGTACATTCGGTCATGTAATAGTGTTGGAGCTACAGGTGTACAACTTCTAGTTTCCAGAAACCGTGTTGCGCCCATTAAACCTACTACCATCCCGAGGCTTGAGCTTTGTGGAGCATTGTTAGGTGCAAGGCTGTGTACTAGGGTTCAGGAATCTCTCACCATCCCCATTTCCAAGTGTAGATTCTGGTGTGACTCCACTATAGTTTTGGGTTGGCTCTCTACTCCTTCTAATCAGTTAAAACCTTTTGTTAGAAATAGAGTAAATGAGATACAAGAGAGCACATGTGGTCATACCTGGAGCTACGTACCGTCGAAGGACAACCCGGCTGATCTTGTTTCTCGTGGTCTCCGGGCCGATATTATAAAGGAAACACCTCTGTGGTGGTCTGGACCTTCTTTTTTATTACGCAATGAAAGTGAATGGCCCATAATGCCAAACACTGAGAAGCATGATTTGCCGGAAGTAGTGACTCATTTGAATATTAATAGTAACAATAATTCATAAAATGTTCATCACACAGACGTCACCTCTCATTCATCTTTCATTCATAGCTTGCTATTAAAGTACTCTAGCCTAACTAAAATTCAAAGAATATTTACATATATACAAAGGTTTATTTACAATTTAAAACACAAAAACAATAAGTTGTGTGGCAATCTTTCATTGTTAGAACTAGAAAATTCATTAACTGCAATTATTAAATTCGCACAGCAACAAATGTTCCCTGAAGACTATCAACTTTTAAAAACTAAACAAAAATTGCCACGCAAAAGTAGATTACTTCCTTTGACGCCTTTCATTGATAATTACGGACTTATTCGCGTAGGCGGGAGGCTTGATAACTCCCCCTATGACTTCAACGTGAGGCACCCCATTCTTTTATGTAGTAAGCACATTCTTACCAAACTTATTTTTCAAATGCAACATTTAAAGCTTGCTCATGCTGGTCCACAGCTGTTACTGTCGCATATTCGACAATCTTATTGGCCGCTCGGTGGTAGAAGCTTGTCTAGATTTATTGTGAGTAAATGTCTTAAATGTTACAGGCATAAGGCTCAAAATGTGCAGCCTGTTATGGGTCAACTACCATCATCTAGAACTAATTTTGAGTTTCCTTTCTTAAATTCTTATGTTGACTATGCCGGGCCAGTATTGATTGCCGACCGCAAGGGACGTGGTTGCAAACTAACAAAGGCCTACATGTGCATCTTTGTTTGTTCGGCAGTAAAAGCAGTACATTTGGAGCTCGTCACAGACCTCACCACGGAGGCTTACATGGCCGCACTAAATCGTTTCGTTCATTCCCTCATTTTAATGCACTCGCTGAAGCTGCTGTTAAATCTTGTAAGCACCATCTGAAAAGATTGCTTAGTCTTACACACTTCACTTTTGAGGAACTGTCGACTTGTCTCACTCACATAGAGGCAGTGTTGAATTCACGCCCTCTTACACCTCTCTCTTCTGACCCTAACGATTATTCAGCACTCACACCATCTCATTTCCTAATTGGACGACCACTCTTATCTGTACCATGCTCTCAGGTGACAGATGCCAACATCACGAGCCTGGATCGCTGGAAGAGGATCCAGTACATCAGACAACACTTTTGGGGACGCTTCCATAATGAGTACACTTCTCTGCTGCAGGCCAAATCAAAGTGGTTTCATTCCAGAGGCGAATTGAAACCAGGGTCCTTGGTCCTGATCAAGGACAAGACGACGCCACCGCTGCTCTGGTCCCTGGGTCGGGTCACTAAGACCTATCCCGGCGTCGACGGAGTCACGCGGGTGGCTGAACTGAAGACGAGGAGGGGCACCATTCGTCGTGCCTTCAACTGCATCTGCCCGCTCCCGATCGAAGACTCTTGAAGAACGAGCATCCTTCAACCCGGGGAGTATGTCGGCGCACCTCATCGACCAACCGCGATGGCGACCGAAGGGAGTGCTGCGGAGGCCGGGGCGGGGGGAGCCCCGGCTGGCGAGCCCGCGGCCGCGCTTCCTTCACTTCTCTCTGCGACGCGCTTGACCACGGGCACTTACTTGTTTTCATGTGTTGACCATTGTTAATTTAACGGCATTAAAGCCTATGTTATACAGTCCACTAGCTTTATTTATAAAGTCCCGTTAGGGCTCCTACATAGGTGTTTTGTATTTTTTTATTACTTTTTTAATATTGAATTTGTATTTCAGTTAAACTAATAACAATGGTCAATGGTAAACAGTTGGCTGTGTACCAAGGATATACATTTTACAATCAGTATGCTAAAAAAGGACGTGATTCGCTCAATAGATGGCTCTGTACCAATCAACCAAGATGTAAATGCTATCTTATTTTGAACAAGGCGCTGGAAATCCACGACGGTCAATGTGAACATAGTCATCCGAAAAAGACCCTTTTTAAGAATAAATGTGGAAGATACATTCGTGTTTAAATAAGTTATTAATGCAGTAAGTACTATATTATTATATATACTTATTGGTTATTATTATATATACTTATTGGTTAGCTTGCCTTGAAAAGACGGGTATTCGACGTTCTTTCTTTTTCCTATGAATCAATCTGCACTTCTACAAAGTATAACCTTGAAAGTTTACAAGTCCATCCATCCATCGATGAATAGATGTTTGTTACTCTTTCACGTAAAAACTGCTGAATAGATTTTGATGGAACTTGACACAGAGTTAGATAGGATTAGGGTTACCCGAGCAAAGTTATCAATTATACTCAATACTTTATTGCGTTTCATAGTAATTGATTTTCATTATAATATTTCGCTTCGTTGCCCACGGGTGCAATGCACATATTCCATTTCAATGCACATTTACATTTCTTCACTTTTTAATCGATGTTACAGTTAGACATATAAATATTCCTTTTCAACTACTCTGTTTATTACAAAACCACATCAAAATCTGTAGCGTAGTTTTAAAGATTTAAGCTTAGTGAAGTGACTTTGTTTTATACTATGTAGTCATTCCGATACATATCCGAACCGATACATACCCATAACACCGATACATGTTTTTTTAGTTGAACAAAGATGTAGTACATAATGACCACGGCATTGAATTATTTAAGTGATCTCTAGTAATGCATAGAATGACTAGTATTTGCATCTTAATCATTCATCATTCATTTATAGAATCAACAATTTTTATGGAATACGTTTTCACCGTAAATAGACATAGTACGTGTGTATAAACAGAAAACTTTTTTATGGATCCTTGTCATTCAATATATAAAATTGTCTTTCGAAATAAGTCTCCATTTCGCATGGAATTATTTTAATGAAGCTGTCAATTAACGATGTAGCCTGTTCAATAAAATTAATTTCAATACAAATATGGTTGATTTTTAATTTTGATAGCGATTTGATTAGTATGACATCCAACCGAATCTACCATTCTGGAAGCAACTTGACTTTAATTGTAATTTCTTCACTCCTCAACTAACGGCCTGAACGAAAAAATTAAATCAAACGTAATTCAGGCCATTACATAAATGTCGAATTAAGGTGTAATATTCACTATGCTCAAATCACCTTTTAATAGACTAGTTGATCTATTTTTTCTTTCTTTTTAACTACTAGTTTTTTTTTAAACATAGCCCAGAAAGAAGATATTTTTTCCTGTGTCGTAAGTGCTTTTACAAAAAATGCAATTTCACATACACAAGACACCTAGACCAATGCGGGAATGGAACCCGCGACACGTTGCGTAAATTTAAATTATTTTTCTGCTTACCTTATGAATGTTTTATCAATCTTGACCAATGAAAAAAAAACAATTGTTTTAGCTAAAATAATAACTTTAATCAATGGAAAGAAGAGGCTTCTCTACCAAAGTCACACGTACTTCGTACGCTACGAGACTAAAAATGAAACCCGATGGTCCTGTTCACATTTCCCCAAATGCAAAGCCAGTCTCTATGCCAACAATAACCAGATCGTTACCAAGATGATCGGAGAACACTGTCATGGAACGAAGAAATTGTATGTTAGTGCTACAGGACACTATGTAGTGTACTAGTATTTCTATATTACGTTAAAAAATTGTGACCGGGCGTCGGGGATCAAGGGACGATCCGGCGATCCGGCCACCGTAAGCACGGGTCTGCGGTCGGCGAGTAAGGGCAGCTCGCCGCCCGACCAGAACCAGGCCGGAGCGTACGGCGCGTAGCGTTCCGCGTGCGCCTCAAAGAGCCAATAGACCACCACAGACGGGGCCCTAAAGGGCTGATGTTCAGCCGGGGTTGCGGAGTAAACGCAATGAGGCACTGCGGCCTTGGCCTAAAGCAGGAGAAGGAACGGGGAGGTTTTTAGTCACTAAGAGTCTGACACTCTCGCCTTACCCTGGGCGGGAGAGGTCTTCTCATGATGTTCCCCTGACAAAAAAAGGTAGCCGCTGATTGCCAGTCTCTTCCTATCAGTCAATGTGTATGTTTTTGAGGGAAGCCTAAGATCAGATGTATTAAATTTTGATCAAATTCTTTTTTTTTATTTCAATAAAAATAACTAGATGGCATTTGTTTTTGTTCAACGTTTTAACTGGAATACAATATTATGGATCCTCTCTAATCTTTGTTCAAATAATTTGTACGTTTTAAGTCTATATTTATATTTACGTATTCTATTTTTAATATTATTATATGTCTGTATTTATAAATTATGTTGTGGTATTATAAGTTCTGAAAAACATGAAAAAATGTCCTGAGTATGTAGTTTTATTGCCAAAAAGACGTTCAACACTCCACAGACCCGCCCTTTTTAGTTTAAATTAGAAGTGTGTTCTTACTATAAGAAGCGAATGGGTATCTATTGCTTAAAAACGCAATGGACATAATGCCAGCTCCTTATAAACAAGATTCTGGTAAGGTACTCAATTTAAAATGACTTGGTAAGTTTTTGTGAATTAATTGTAATAAGTTACTCTGTGTTGGTGACCAATAGGGATGATGACAAGATATGAAACTTGCAGTTCTATTAAGTCTCTCATTCATTTAGATAATTAACACATAGATTATATCTGTATGTGTGTAAATATTTAGATTGTAAACTATTTTTTTTTTTTACATTGAAAAACCGTCCTACAAGAACTAATAAAACTTATCTTCATCATCATCATAACTACATACATATCTTCTAAAGACATAAATCTATCATATATATGTACATACGTACTTACAATTAACTTATATGATATTCCCTTAAAAAATACGTGCTCATTTATTCATTTAAAATCTAGACAGTCTACAAAAATATTGGTCATCATACCTATTGCTCATAATATTATATAATTTGATGATAATATTATTTGTTTTAGTGCAATTAATAAAAGTGGAAGATGGCAAAGAGTTTTTGAAATACAACAATTATTATTACACAAAAGTGCCGTATATTAAAAGAAAATGGCGATGTGTTAAAACGAATTCGTGTTATGCCAGTATTAGTATAGATGATGATGGAAGACTAAAGCAGTCTCGGTTCCATGATCATCCACCTAAGGGTTTCCATAAGACTAAAGATGGGCATTACATTTAAAAGGAAAGCTATGTTATAAACATTAAAGAATAAAAAGAAAAGTCATCAATTGACTTCTCCTGCCTTTGGAGTGGGGGGAGGGGTATAGAACCACTTAGTTCGTTCTCCGGAACGACCCGGGGTACATCCACTTGCAATCGCAACCCGGCTATGAAACTTACTCATGGATTTGGATAATTTAACAGCAGTTTCTATCAGCTTACCAAAATATCTTTGTGCTGGTCAGACTTTTAAAAAGTTATGTCAAGTATTTGTGCAATTTCTTTGTGATATTATTTTTCGTAATAATTGTTTTATGTTAAGTTACTTTATGTTTAATATGGCATTAGATGTCTTTTTTCATTATCATTGTTTTAGGTTAAGTTTGGCATCAGATGTCATGATAAATGGCCAAAATGACCAGTACCGAAATGAAATGATTTTATTAATAAAAGATGGCAAATAATATTTTGGTCTTTACGTGTACGTGTACGACTGTAATCATGCCTTCTCTAGATTTTAAACGAAATTAAGAGACTCTGAACATTATAATTCCTGTCTCTAGTGGGTATTTTTATTGTTAAAGTGACGTATATAAAAAATAAAAAATTACCTTCAGTAAATACCTAAATTGTTTTAATTTTTCTTATACCTATATAACATATAAATCACTATCTAACAAACATTTCACAAAATTAATAAAATAAACTTATCTAGCTTGACTATATATTATAATGTATCTTTATTTACTGGAAATAACGGCTTCATCATATACACTAATTGAGAAAAAATCCATCAGTTTCAATTCACTACGGGACTCTTTTTATGAGCCCATGGCGAAGCGATGTCACGCTTGTAATACCCCTAGCTACAATTATTTCCAAAATTTTCTATTGCATGTTTTAATTAAAACTTTTTATTACAATATTTGTAATTGGTCTTTTTATTTTCCAGTAGCTGAGATTATTTACACGGTGGCAGGCAAACAGTATTTACGTTACAAGAATTTCTGCTACTCGAAGAACCACAAGAGCAAGTGGAACTGGCGATGTATACACACGAGGCATTGTTATGCCTCAATCTCCGTAGACAATGCCCTTTACGTATTCAAAGAGTCCAAATCACACACGCATCCCCCCAAAATGTACTACAGAACCCCCGATGGAATGTATGATACTGTTTCAAGAATTTCGTGGGTTGGTAGTAACGAAAATGACTGTGTTTGAAAAATAAATTTTGTGATGATCGTGTTTTGTCTTTTTCGAATTTTACTCGCCTGCTATGTTTTGTCTCTTTCTTTTATTCCGATTGTGGATACCTAGTCCTTGGAGAGTTACCTTGGTAACAGAGAAAGTGTTCTAAAAAATTACTCAGACCGATTCTATGGTAATCAATGTTTACAAATCTTACACCTATGTTATATAGGTGAAAAGAAAATTAAAAGGTTTTGGTATGTTCTCTGCTTTTATTATTTACTAGCCAGCACCTGCTATGCACGGATGTCTACGAGCTACCTCAATGTTAGTCATTTATTTTGTTAGGGACTACCGCAACAGTCAAATATGTTGTTATTTCCCACTAACTGAAAATAACGTTCTTTTAAAATTAAATTCATTAATCGATCTAGCCATTCACGCCTGATGCAATGACTTAGGGAAATTCGAATTCTGGGAGCGTTTAAACCAATAGTACTAGTATACTAACAGACGCTAATCAAAATTTATAGTCTAGCCAGCACTTAGGAACATTGTACCTAGTTATCTATCAGTAAAAGTATTTTAGGAACCCGACCAGGCAGCAGTTCCAAACGGTACCTCCTACATACTAACTTAAAAATGTAACTTTAATATAGGTTGTATAGATTTATATTAATTTATTAATTCTTATTGCAGGGGAGTTTATCACTACGCTCCATGACAAAACTTTATTTAGATACAAAGGTTATTGTTACGCTAGAACTTCTAAGAGCCATATCTGGCGATGCGTTCACACAAGTTACTGTTACAGCAGTTTAATAATCGATGACAAATTCAATGTGGTCAAAGAACCGAAGGAACACTTACATCTGCCAAAAGAATATTTTAAAACTCGAAACGGAAAGTATGCCAGTGTTATGTCTAAAAAGCCGAATCATATGGTAATTAGGCTATAAATATTTAAAATAAATGGAATGGGTTCGAAAAAACTATTATTCGAATTGAGGCTTCATCTACAGCATTCGACTTAACGTGTCTATGATTTTTCCCAATTTCTTTTTTCTTTTTTTTCTTTGTATATTTTTAATAATCGTGTACCTACTAAGGTTTTATTGTCCAGATTCCACAGAGTATGTACTCCTACGACTATTCAAAAAACTTTAATATCTATACAACCTACATATAAGTAATATGCTTAACATTAATTGTATATAAAAATTCAAACGTATTTATTTTATTTATTAAATTTCTTTTTAATTCTGACTTTTATTTTTTTTATTTCGCATGTAGTATTAATTCCTTGTAGTTAAAATTTTTTTTCTATTTTTAATTGTAAGTTTAAAATTTTATTTTGCTAGCAATACTAACGATAATATTTCTTTCAGTGCAACTGATAACGACGGTGCAAAACAGATTGCTGTTGAAATACAAAGGGCATTACTACTCGAAAACTCCTTACTTGAAGAAAAGATGGCGCTGTATCAATACAAACAATTGTTACGTCGGTGTTATTGTGAACAATGATTTCTCTATTAAAAAGGAGCCAAGCGAACATTGTCATCCACCAAAAACCTTCGTTGAGACCGAAGATGGGAAATACAAGCTCATCAAAGATAATGCTAACAAATCAAACGATTATATCGTCTATGAATATTGATGATAAATATATAACAGTCTAATATATTAACTATAGTTGATATTTGTATAATATTTTCTGATTTAAAATGCAATTTAGCTGGCTGCAATTTAGCTCTTTTGACAAGGGTTTTGATTCAATTCGTAATAAAAAGTTAAAAATAATTAAGACTTAAAAGTTAGTTTCGTTAAAAATTGCTTTTTTATATTTAGGTATCAACACTAAAATCTAAATAGCGTCTCTTTGACTATAAACTTTGAACAAGTATAAAAAGGACATTTTTAACACTAGGTGATGAATTTTTAATTTGTTTTGATTAGACTGTTATAATCGTCCATCACAATATCATTTATTGAATATTTTTAGTTGTAATATAACCTTTAAATGTTTAGTTTTTTTTCTTACCTCGTATTCTAAGATAAATTGGTAGTGGGGCATAAATCCTAGGACTTCTTTTTTAAAAAAGAAATGTGTGTTTAGGTTAGTGTAAGTACTACGCTTGCGTTAGAAACATTTGTCAATTTAATGATCAAGACGAATATCATTTAGCAAATTATTATTTAATAAGGAAACAATAATTTTTCAATATGGCTACCTACCTCTTTTTGTTCACCAGATAACTCTAGCTTCGTCCAATAGGAAATGAGCTAAGTGTCCTATAATTAGACGTTCAATATTGACAGCTACATTGATTGGATAAAATGACCTATGGCTTATTTTAAAGGTCTTCTACAAAAATAAATAAAAGGTTTTTATAAAGTTTGTCTGTTTTAAGTATGATTTAGATTCATTAAATACTGTTCCAGAATACATTATGTAAGTATCGGTTGAAATTTAAATTTCTTTACTATTTAAATCAATGATGCTATTATACATAAAACTTTCCTCATCAATCACTCTATTGTAAGACCGCATCAAAATCCGTTGCGCAGTTTTAAAGATTTAAGCACACATAGCGATATAGGGACAGAGAAAGCTATACCCGATACCCAGATGCTGTATTAAATATAAATAGTACATTATCTTGTGCTTTACATTAAAATAATTAATTATTACCAACGGTTTTTTACCTTTATCTGTTTGCTATCATTACAATTTACATACATATGTCTGAGATTATAAGTATGCCTATTTATTTACATGTAGTTTAAATTGAGTAAAATTTTGATATCGTAACCATATCTTGATACATATTTGTACTGTGTACTGTATAGTTCTCGACAGATATAATGTGCCTGTGAACAAGAGGCTATCAACGCTCTTATATTATAGCTCCTTCAGTGGTGTCCATGAGCAGCGCTGATTGCTTACCATCAGGTAATACGCCTGCGCGCTTGCCATCCTATCATATAAAAATATCCGAGACCATAGTTCCGCAGGTCGATTTTCATTAGATTTCGGTCAAATCGACCTTACGGGATCAAATACAGGTTATATGAGCTCATTTTGATGTCGAGAATTATACAAAATAACTTTTATCTTCAATGAAATGTCTAATAATAATAATATCATTATAAAAACTATGATATTAAAGTATTGTATGTAACGATTTAAGTAGGTACATAGTCTAGGGTTAAAATGTTTAGATTAAAAATCCATTAATTTTGTGTATTTTAGTAGATAAATACGAGTAGCGTAGTTATTTAAAATAATATTATTAGCTATCCGCTTTTGTTTTTAATTTTTAAGTATTTGTTCTTCTAACAAATGTTAGGTTTACTGTAAATTTTTGGCTGGATTTCGAATAAATATGTGTCTTTGTAAACCAAAAACAGTGATTACTGATTCTTATTATAGATAAGTCTTTAATGTTGAAAATATCGTCTCAGTTGACAAAAAATTACAGTAAACCTTAGTCTCTTTTCATTTGGCTAAATTAGTTTAGTTAATGATTGCGCGGCTAACTCAGTTTTTTTATTTTAAATAATAAACTAAAAACATTTCAATTTCTTTCGATTATTTTGAGGAAAATTTTAATAATTAAGTTGGTCCCGCGGTTTTGATTGTATTTTTTCTTTTTTGGTGTAATAAAGTGTTAAGTAACTATTGATGTTTTACTATCGAGCAAGCAGGTAGCTATGCTCGCCTGAAACTTTTTGGGGTTAACTCAACTCAGGTGTGACAATTTTAGAAAAATTCTGTGTATCACAGATAATATGCTTATTTTATTTTCTAAAACTAGGTACTCGTCAAACGCCGGCGTACATTGAATTAAATAATATTAAATAATAACGTTGTACGTTATTTTCAACAAATCTTGTATTCTCATGATAGTTATTACTATTCAAATATTACATTCTGCTGAATATAAAAATATTATATTATGGTGGTGGTGGCCATGTGGTCAAGGCAAAGGAGGTGTAGGTTCGAAACCTGCCAAGTACTAATGTCACTTTTCAAGCATAGGCGCCTTTATTCAGCAGTGGTCACTTATAGCTTGATGATGTGTCGGTAGTTATGAATCTATACTATATTATAATGTTATAAAACTAAAGAGTTTGTTTAAACGCGATAATCTCCAGAACTACCTACTGGTTCGAATTGAATAATGATTTTTGTGTTTATTTAGTACATTTATCTAGGAAGGCACATTTTGTCTATAAAACATCACGCTACGATTTGTAGGAGGCGAGCAGCGAGTGAAGTCGCGGGCAGAAGCTAGTGATTAAAATTCGGTAATAAATAAAAAAACGAAATATCCCACAGCTATAAAAACTTGCTTCTCATGCCCCAAAAAGCGGTATAAAAACTAAATAGCAAGTAAAAAACATGCCGAAAATGCGCTTGCGACTCTTCTGACGTCCATGGGCGACGCCGGTTGCTTACCAGCAGGTGAAGGTGACGTATGCTTGTTTGTTCTATTCATAAAAAAACTGGTTGGAATTGTCAATTTACCAATTACCTTTTTCAGCTCCATATAAAGAAATGCTGCTCAAAAATGGACGGACGTACCTAATGTATGATAATTACACATACACTTTTGGTTTTAAGACAAATATTGGCACTAGGTGGCGTTGTACAAGTACTTCGGATTGCAAAGCCTTTATCGTGATTGGGTTAGACGGTGAACTCATTAAGGCCACGGGTAGCCATGCCCATAAGGCTCCAACATACGTACGCGTTTCCGATGGGACATACACGAGGATTTAATGAAATATCAAAATATGTGTATAAGTCTAAAACCCGGTTTCTGAAAGGCTGATCAACAGTCATCTGTTGGCAACTAGGGGCGTGGTTGAGAGTCAAGCCTAATAATATACTGAGGTCTACAGGTGAATGGATGGGATGGTTTTTAGACAGTAAGATTCGATAGCAAGAAAATTCATTTGATGAATTCCCTCCCACCCCCTTTCAAAAAAGACTTTTACCACAGTTTTTGTTTTTGTTCGTTGCGCGGCAGCCAGTTCTCTGCCACCGCACCAACCGTGAGTCAAGAGTTGTAATAATTATATAAGTATCTTGATTGAGTTTTACCGATAAAGACTGTACAAAAAAAATATTGTATAGAATTGACAAGGCGTTGTTTTTGATGTCGCTTATAAATAACATTATAATAAGCATTTCAACTGAAACAGCTGATTACTTTCTCGCTCGTCGACTGGTGTGCGTGTCACCTTCTTGACTGCATAATGCAATAGCAGAAATATTATGGGAATGCCTCCCATTATGCAATGTTCCAGTGCAAGTTGTGTGAATTAAACGCCACGGCAACTGATGTCACTAAGGGCTGATTTTCAATGGTTTGATAAAAGTTATCTGGGGAATAATTATGATGCTGTCGCGTCAGAACGTTTGTATAAGACAGTGACAGCAACAATTTTATTCCTCAGATAACATTTATCTGACTATTGAAAAATAAGCCCTTAGTTGATTATTTATTTGACAAGCCTTTCAGCAGCTGGGTCTCAGAGTATCTGAATTTTTACTTTTAATTTTAGTACTATACTATTTTTATCTAAAACTATTGATTTCCATTAGTCTTTCATTATCGTCTTTTATTTTAATGATATGTTTTTGTAAACGAGACGTTTTAATACATCTTCATGTTAGATTTTAGTTTAAATATGTATATCTGATTATACGTCAATGTAATCTTATACATAATAAAATATTATTAATAAAATCATTTTTGTTTGTAATAAATATTAATCATGTATAACAAAAAAAATAAACTTTTATATTTTGAAAGACTAGTCTTTCATCATTCTTAAAAATATATCATAAAAACATAATTAAGATATGAGAAAATGTAAAATCTACGGCAGCTTTTTGATCTACATGAATCTTGGTTTATTTTTACAGGAAATTCCGAATGCGAAGGCCCTTGTACCAGATCCTCCCGTGCTAATCGAAAGCTAAAAGCGTACTCGTCTGAAGATGTGGAAAATGCAATCGAAAAAATTCTATCTCAAGCATTAACCATAAAGGCAGCTTCGCAGAAATACAAGGTGCCCGTGACCACATTGAAATTTAAACTCAAAGCTTTAAGACCAAAAAGAAAGACTCCCCTTCTGAAAATGGCGGTCACGAACGAGGAAGACCTAACTTTTAAGAAGCACTTATTACTAATAAATGAAATGGGGATCCCAGTCACTTTCCATGATATCATAGCAGTTGTTAAAGCCTATCTCACGGAGGCAGACAAGGGGATGACTTGCTACCGAAGCAACAATCCTGGGATATTTTGGTGCAAACAATTCTTGCAAAGATATCCTGAAGTCAAAGAAATCATCACGTCCAATCAACAAATTACGAAGGGTAGAATAGTCCCCAATACACCAAGAACAATAAACAACTTTTTCAATCGCTTTGAAGGTGAACTCTACTCTAATTATGTAACGCCAGACAACATCTACACCATGGATGAATGTGGCTTCGGAGTTGACCCAAAGAAAAAGAGTCTTTTATTTAGACGGTCTTCTCGTCACCCTGATCTGGATAAACTGTGTGGAACATCAAACTACTCGGTTGTATTCTGTGGCAACGCCATTGGAGAACTTATAGACCCGTTCTTTATTTTCAAAGAAAGCATACCTACACCCAGTGAGCATCCTTACTATTCATCATCAACCAGTGGCTGGATAGACACGACTGTG